TTGTTTTTTTTTTTTTTTTTTTGAACAGGGATTGAACTCGGGCCCTTGCACTTGCGAGGCAGGCACAAGTGAACCACTGGTGCAAGTGAACCACTGGCTGAATCACTGAGCCAAATCCCCAGCTGCCATGCACTTTCTAAACATCTCATTTAGGGTTCCTAGAATCCCATCCCCAGCTTAAGAGAGGAAAATGGACTTTGGTGTATAGAGATACTACGAGACTACTATGACATTAGGCCAATAAGTATCTGCAAAGATAGAATAAGCCTATCTGTCCATCTCTCTCAGACTGCCCTTTATACCCACCCTTAAGCAAGAAAAGCAATAACTCATTTTCTTTAAAACTGGGGGCCAATAGATAAGACACTCATACTTGGTAAAACACAAACCCACCATCAAATGTAACTGTGATCCATGTTCCACCTGCCAAGCTACCTTCTTCAAGCTCAACATGTAAACTCGGGTGAGGTACTGTAAATAAGTAAGAAAAGCAGTGTTTTTTTGAATGTCAGATTTGATTCACTAGCTTCCTCGGTACTTCAAAGCAAAATTTGGTGTGCATCACAATCATCGGAAGAGCCTGATATGGCACAGATCACAGGTGCCTACCCTCAGGGTTTCTGGTTCAGCATTAACATTTCCAACCAGGTGCTACTGGTCCGGCGAATACAGCTTCAGAACTCTCATTTTATGGAAATTGACCCTTCTTATTTTAGACACCCAGAATTTCAGAATTCACCAGGACAATCTTAGATTTCTACTTCCTTTGGAAGTAGTATTAAGGACATGTTTGGTTCCTAATTGAATCCACACTGTCTCTCCTCTCCCACCTTTAATCAAGCATCTATATTTAATGGTAAAGACCACCACTTATTTCTTATAACCACTTCCTATGAAGGGGAGAAAATTCTGGTAGCTGTACCTACTTCGATTCTCCTGCTCAGTACCCTGTCCTCTAGTTTTCCATTTAAAATACAAGAATGGTTCCCCAAATCAACGCAAAATTTTCTAGATTTTTGCCTTGACTGTTCAGAAAAAGGCTAAAGCACAAATCTTTGCTAAAATTACCTTTAAATATATCAATGTGGACTTCATGTGGTAGGCTAGATTGTGTTCTTCCAAACAGACCATCTGATAAGCCTGACATTAACAAATCCCTCCATCTTTGATCCTGGACATGCCTTAGCAAAGGAAAACCTCTTCAAAGAAGTCAGGAAAAAATCGGACCGCTCCTCAGTGAGGTAATAAGCAAGGAAAATGTAATTTACGGGACACTTTTTCATTTCCATTGCAGAAAATTTGCAGGATAATCCATACCATGCTACCTGTGCCTACTCAGGGCCCTGTGTAGAGTCAGTCATGAGGCAGTATGTGTCACACCCTGGGAAGACGGCAGCAGTCACATCAGTATGACCATCGTGAAAGCCCCAGCCAGGCAGACCTTCCTCGCCCCTCAGAGATAACTGGATGTTTTCAGTCACAGACAAAAATGAATGTCGTAAGAAGGTATGGAGGATAACTAAATTCACAAAAAACTATGGACATGATTTAAGAAAAGGAGATTGTGATGCAAGCAGTCATTAATCACTGTGATAAGTTATTCTTAGGGATGGTAGGGCAATAAAATCTAAAAAGAATTACATTATACAGAGCAAAAAGAAAAGTTATAAATTTTTTCTGAAAGCTTTGAACTATCACAGTTACCTTTAATGGCTGCTAAAAGTTGACGTTACTATCCATGATAATTTAGTATATAACCACAGATGTTAATCAGAGAAAACAATTACTAAACAAAAAATGTAAGTCCAGATTCAGATATTTAAATATATCTTTCCAAAATAATATTTTTAATTTATGTTTTCAATTGACAGGTAAAAATCATATATATTCACAGTGTACAAACAAAATATTTTAATTAGTACAATAGTTCTCAAGAGGGGAAACTCCATGAGCTCTAATTTATAATCCATTCAAACACATTTACTTACCTGATAAAATTAGTACTTCAACAGTCATCAGAGGTATCAGCCAGCCAGTCATGGTGCCCAGTTAAGTCAGTTCTTGTAAGATTGCTTAGGCACTAAAAATACTTTCACTGTTGATTGAAGCAATACAGCCTTTGTGCTTTACAAAAAATAAAGTTAAAAAATACTATCATTTTTTTCTTACATACTATTACTTTGCTCTACTGAAAGAGGACATTAAGGAGATGAGACAGATATGGGCCCAGTATCTTGAAAAGGACCCACTGTCTTTCCAAGCTTGCACGAAAGGGATCAGCTATGAATCTTAGGGAAAACCATCAGCATTCAGCTCCTCTTATTGCTCCAGTTTATTTTATGCATGTTTAAGAAAGGTAAGTACAAATAATCTCTTTCATTAACTTGCTATTAAACAAAATCTGAATTTTAAAAATAAATCCTAACTTTCCAAATATGATTAATGAAGGAGTCCTGTTTTGTTGTACCTTATCCTAACTTACAAGTTTTCCTGCGTGTGGCTCTCTAATTTAAAACTTGTATCACAGCTGTGCTACCCTCTTATCTCTCAGGCATGACTTCCACACACCAGCCTCTTCTTTGGCTCTTCCTGGTCCCTTCCTGGATCCCATCTTCATGGCCCCATAAGAGCCTGCCCTCCCTCCTTCCGTTGAAACTTCCAGCCCATATCCTATGAGCCTAGCCAGGTAGGACTGACCACCACACATGACTCATCTTTCAGAAGACACCTTCCTTGGAAAGACCCAGGGACCAGTCTTCTGTCAGCACAAGCCTCTCAGTGCAAAGGTCCCACACAATGCCCAGGAAATTCTTGGGTTTTTTTTGGTGGGGGGGGCGGTGCCAGGGATCGAACTCAGGACCTTGTGCTTGCAAAGCAAGCAGTGGCATCACTGAGCTAAACCCCTGGCCCAGGAAATTCTTATTGATGAATACATATTAAGTACTATAAATCTGGTTTTTGCCTCAAGTGAGAAAAATGGCTTTCACATCCATATGAGACAGGTAGAATCCACAGAAGCCTGGCTGAAGCCTCTTCTGCCCCCAGTGATGCCCACCCAGTCCCTGCTTTAGAAAGGGTATTAAGCCCCTCTCTGGCCCCAGAGAGTATACAAAATCCTCCTTAATGTTGTTCTGAGGTCTTCTGAAATTTCAAAAATAAAAGTATTAAATACACACATTTTGCTAGATATACATTTAATTTAAAGTTTAAAAAAAAACACTCATAGTAGTACAAGTTATGCCATTTCAGAAAACGCTAAAGTTCTACTATGTACCTAGAAAAAAAATATCTCCAAAAAACTTTTGGTAAACTTATAACCCAGGTATATAATAATAAAGATAGCCCCCAATTTAAAATCACTCTCTTAACTCACACTATGAAGTCTCACTGTATGCTCACCAGACATTCCAGAAGTTGGTAAAATAGACAGTCAGTGTACCTGCCCTGCCTGTCATTAGCAAATAGGGTAAGGATAGAAGTTGTTTGCACTTATGAAAGGAGTTCTACAATTTCCAAGTATATTTGTATGTTCTTTAAACCTAAAAAATCCCTACAAAAAGTTTAGTTCTATTTAGAATATAATTCAATTTAAGAACCATTTTATTTTTCAGAAATTTCTCTACTACATAGACAAGAGTACTCAGGGGTGTTTGCTACATAGTCCAAAGGCGCAAGATCTGGCTTGCTTCCTTCACACAAAAATAATTTACTAAGCACAGAGGAGTTTATTTTCAATCTGGCTTCATAATTAGCATTTCATTTTGGTGTCTACTTCCAATCTTAGAACAATGGAAATAAACATTTGCAAATGTTTTTCTAAAATCTAAATTCAGAATGTCTTATTTACTTTAAAAGAGAGCAGTCTAATCAATAATAAATGTAACTTTTCTTAGAATGGACTAATCAATCCACTAATTCTTCCTAAAGATAAACTCAGTCTCCCTTTACTTCTTCCAACTAGAAAGTTTTCAACCACACAAGAGAGCCATGTGCATTTAGTCAATCTTCTTTCTCCTCTTTCTCTTTTCTCCTCTACCCTCTCTCCCTCCTCTTTCTTTCTTTCTTCTTCCTGCCTCTCCTGGTTTCCCACCTGTGAAAAGCAAAGTCCACCACAAAATTAGCAAGAGATCCAAAACCTAGAAGACAGACAGCACTTCAGTTTCCTGAATCAAACAGTACCTTTTTCTGTTTCTGCCTCGTTGTGACTCAAGGAAGGAATTATCTTTCCTTTCTAAGTGATGTGTTTCTCTCTGCCAAGAAGCCAGACTGTGTCATCTAGTTAGAGCCCAGCCAGCGACTACTACACAGGTAACTCATTCATGCTGGAATATAACCCACCTAACTCGTTTGTGTTCTGTCCAAACGTGAACCACAGCGAAAGTTCAGAACTGGCCATAAGGCAACATTTAATGATTAACACCAGCTACTTTGGCTGTTTCCTTGGGGCCCTTTATTAATGGCCAAGGAAAGTATCTTGCATTTTTCTCCACTTACTGCATGTGCCCCAGATAAGAATTTTAAATAAAATTCCACCCAGTGAGACAAACAGGCAGGCATTCAATGATTGAAAGAATTTGCCAGCAAGTCAATAACTGAAGTGAGAGTGGGAAAGAAAGAACCTCTAGAGGGCTGATCCCCATTTATAAGGACTCTATGGCTCTTCAAGAAAATAAATTTATACATGCTGAGGTATGGGCTCATTCTGTTACACTCATATCAAGAGTGTGGCTGTCAAAAAGAACTATAAATATCCATTATAAGCTGTTTATCCAAGGATAGATGGGATTTTTTGGAAAACCTTTGCCGAAGTAGCAAGAAATAAAATATGAGTTAGATCTCATGAAACTTCTGCTATGGTTTAGATAAAAAATGTCCCCCAAAACTCTCCGGTGTTCAGAAGTGCGGCTTTTGGAAGGTGACTGGATTATAGGGGTGGTTTACCCATGAGTGGATTGATCCTTAGATGAGTTCATGGTTGAATGTGCTGGTTGGAACAAGTGGCTCAAGGAGGGTGTGACTTTGAAGGCTGTATTCTTATCTCCAGCTCCTCCCTTCTCCTTCTGGTTCCTGGACACCATGGATTGAGCAACTTTCCTGTGCCCCTGCCTTCTGCCATGCAATTTCTGTCTTGGATCTGGCCAACTATAGACCAAACCCTCTGAAATTGTGAAACAAAATAAGCCTCTCCACCTTTAACTCGTGGGTGTCAGTTATTCTCTTCTGTTGACAGGAAAGTAACTAATAGAACTTTTCAGGAGATTCTTCAACAATGTAATAAAATAACCTGATTATATTTCTGCTCTTCTTGTCAGACAGCAAGCACTTGCAAGACCAAAACTGTGTTACATCCTTTAAAAAATGATTTTGTAACTGCACTGTATACTTAAAAAGTATACTTATAAACTCAATAAGAAAAAAATTGATTTTGAGTCATCAAAGTGATTTGTGAATATAGTTTCTTCTACAAAAATAAAAAATCAACAATAACGCTGAATTTAATTTGGCTGATTTACTCTGAGAAGGGATGATGAATGGTAAAGAATTAGATGGCTATGAATTCTTTCTCAGAAGGACTTTGAACAAGACACCTCTCTCTGCTTCTCAGGCCCACACTCTTGATATGAGTGTACCAGTATGAGCCCATACCTCAGCATGTACAAATACACCATCCTAAAAACACCCCAACCTTGTTATGGGGAGATTTACCTCTCCACTCTTGGAGAGGTAGATATCCACTTGGACATCTAATGATATCCAAGACTTTGGCGTCTGGGCTCTGAGCTCTACAAACTTCCAGGCAGACAATCAAATTTTATCATTAAAAATATAGGGCCGGGCGGTTCGGTGGCCTGCCTTGCAAGCACCAAGTTCAATCCCTGGTACCAAAATAAAAATAAAAAATAAAAAATAAAGTGAGCCATTTCATACCTAAAAGGCGAAGTTGTAGGACTCTATAGCCACTGGTTATGCCACTTGACGGAGTCCTTCTGTGAGCTCCACCATTGACCCCAAGACTTCCAAATGTACACACTTACCTAAGTTTACTATGCAAACACAACCTCCAGGCAAGCCTCACTTTTCCATCTAATCATACTCCAAAGCCCCTGTCACATAGAAATTCTAAATAAAGTCTTAAACTCATCTTCTTTTTAATTTTTTTATTTGATTAGTACATGTCTGCTCTCATGTAGTTTACAGTCATCGTGGGGAGTGCTCACGTGTGCACACAAAAGCTTGTTCTTCAACATATGCTTTTGGTCCCTTTGGTGAATATCAAATAGCTGAGTGTGTCTGGGAGAGTTTCTGTACCCTCGGTTCTGTTCCGTTGACCCACATATCTATCTTTGTTCCAGTATCATACTGGTTTTAACACTATCACTTCGTAGTATGTTAGGCTCAAGTCTTTTATCCAGTAATGAAGAAAAAGGCCCCTCAGAAGGCAGGCTGAGCATGGTTCCCCTGCCTCTCCAAAGAATGCAGTCATGCTCGCTCCAATTATTGACAATACTCCCAGGAATACTTCTATGAGTATTTGTGAAATTTGCAGCATGAAATTATTACTGAGCCCCATGAAGCAACTCAGTAGGTCAAGGAAGAAGTTCACTCTCTGATTCCTTCCTCTTGTATCCCAATCCACTTCTGAATTCCTGGGGAACTGTACAAGTCCTGTGTGAATGTGTCTTGCAGATCTCCAAGTGCAGGAACTATTACTGGTCAGGGGTCTATCTGCTGTGTTCTGAAACTCATCCCAACATCTGGAGTGAGCACATACATCTGCAGGCTTCACCAATGACTGAATGTGACAGAACTAGTAAGACAGAGATGTGTTTAGAAGAAATCTGAGACTTCACTGACAATGACATTGGCTTAAAGACTGACAAGAGTTTTGAACCTTCCTTAGAGTTCATGGTAGTCTACAATCCTTCCACACCTTTCTCTCTTGCACTCAGAGTCAGTTTTCCCACCCTTCTCTTCTTCCCTCGCCCTCTCCTCTCACAAGCCCTCCTCCTAATAAAAAACATTGTATACTTCATCTTATCTCAGTATCTGCTTCTCCAAAGACACAGACTAACACAAGTACATGGGAAGAAAGTACCATTGGCAAGAATTCAGACTTTGCATTGGTGGCCCCAGGAGCAGCATCAGTGGTAAAGATTTTTTGGATAGCTTTTTGGATAGGCCAGGGGCATGAAACAAAGGAGTCCAAGAGAGAGAGGAAGGACAATAGCGGCACCATCTAAAGAACTTTCTGACATCAGCATGCTTGTTACCTTCTACACCATCCTCTAGATCTACTCACTGCTCTTCTCCATACTGCCCTGAGCCATGGGAGGGTGACCTGTGTGGATTGTACCAGTGGGCTTTTTCTTGGTGGCTTGTTGGTTTCAGAAATCAAGGAAGGGCAGGATCTCAGGGAGGCCAGAGAGAAGAGACCATCCCTCCCTTGAGCTTGCTCTTTTGCTCTATCTGCAGGTTCTGATACCTTTATTCTCTGTACCCCTTCAGGACAAGTATGCTAATAGCTCCTACCACTGCTAACTTGCATGTGGAGTACCATGCCTTATTGCCTTTTCTAAATAATTGCTACACCTGTTAAAAATCACCCTTTAGTAATTTTTCAAGGCGTGTATGCCATCTATTTACTACAGAGATACTAACTGAGACACAAAATCAGAGATAGCTAATTTCCCACCTGGGCAAATGTGAAGTTCAAAGTCATCAAAATTTGTAACTGTGCATGTGAC